TCGAATAAAAGTTTTCCGAGCTTGCACGCTTGCGGTGGCTCTATATCCAGAGACCACAATCTGAGGGAGTACGGGAACATGACTCAAGGCACAGGAAACGCACAACAAAATGAAAGATTGAGTATATGACTTTGAGGAATGAGTGAAGACTCTTGATGAGTGTTGGTCATGTCCCTCTCATCTGTATTTTTCTGAGATTATCATGAGTTCTTATTCCTCCCTCATTTATCCTTGTCATTGCTCAAGTTTGTCGGTCCTGCTTCACTTGCTTTCATTCTGTTTGATGATTGTATTATCTAATGATCTTATCACCGTTCTCAACATTAGTAAATTGGTGAAATTTACATATGTATGGCAAACCATAATTTATAATGAATAATTGCATAATCTTTGTTGTTCCGAATCGAAATAGAAGATTCCTAAGACTGGGGACTGACGAAGACCGCAATTGAAGGGTCTCGCTCGAAGCCGGACGTACACAACAGGACGGGATTTGCCTTATTTAATTTATTTATTTATTGCAACCGATATCAAAATCTTGCGTGACAGCTTGTTGGCTTTCTGGTCGCCTGAAGTGGCCCGACTAGAAAAAGTGCGACAACGTCCCACCAAGCGCCGTGGACCAAGTTTTTTCGAAATAACAAAGGCATTGGTGCAATTGAGTCCGACCTTTTTTTTTTCACCGCCCACCAACCCCCAAAGTACCATTGTGCAAAAGATGGCGCTCATCCTGAAAAGAGATTGTCACATTATGTGACTACCAGGGGGTTCCAATATTATGCAAGCTCCCGCTTGCACACACAATTTCCAACGATCTTGCTGGAGAGAGACAGATGCAGCAGCATGCGATGTCAAACTTACACATGTCAATTACAGTATGATAAGAGTGTGGTTGTCATCCATATGGCACGTGTAAGTTCTGCTCATGATCTATGGGTTACGAGGGAAGGGTAGACTTATGAGAGGAGGAGTAGGAGGAGGGTGGGCTTGCGGAAGAGGGGGCAGGAAGCGTTCCAGTTCCCGATCTCCGGTGGGAAACCGAGTGTAGTGGATGGTGCGATGACTGTGGAGGAAGCGACGATCCTGATGCGGAAGCAAGGCCAAGTAGTCAAGATAAAGGTTGCAAAGGGTGCGGGGGATGGCGGCGCGAAAATCTTCGTGATCGTGGCACGTGGGTATAGTTCCCGTGATTATACTGTAGACTTCTATATTATTATAATCACGCCACACTACACTAAAGGAAAGGGTATGAAGATGGAAAGAAGTTACAAGAGATCGGGTGGTTAAATGCGGGAAGACTGTGGCGACGAATCGGGAGGAGTAAAGTTGATAGAATAGGGAAGGTGGAAAGGGATGCCAGCTGAGAGGTAATGGGGGAAGGTGTTCAAGTTGGTGGGGGGTGAGGTAATCAAGGGGACGGCGGAATAATAACCGAGAATGAAGCCCGAGCGCCCGCTGTCGAGCGCATCGGCCCCAACGTGAGCGAGGGTCCTCCCGGCTATGTCACAAAGGAGTTATAACAAAACAAAATTGAGAGACAACTCAGGACGATGCATAAATAATCCCACGAACCGCCGAGACGGACGCAATTGCATTGTCTCTTCGCCGCTCTAGCCGGGTGCGCTAGCTGTACATCCCACGGTCCCCTACGACATGATAGGTTCTCGCGGGGCGCATCTTACCTTCCCTAAGGGGCTGTCACCACCCTTAGGGGCGTATCCCCGCCGAACTACCGACCCATGTGCGAAAGTTTTTACATGCAATTGCAAAGGTAGGTCAGCCGAGAGCGTTTGCTCGCTCGCTGGAGTATAGGTACGCTTGGTTAACGCCAAGTGGACCCGAACGTCGTCCGTTCCCGAGGGCGCTGATCTCCTCGGTACGAACAAACATCGGTCGACTAGGACGGCCTCGACCAAACATGAAATCCAATGTATAATCCTAGTCCCGTTATAATCTCATACTCATAAACAACATTCCGATTTGACGAGGCGACCTGCCAAGGTTATCATTTCCTGCTTGCATGACCGGAGAGACAATGCTACTGCCGTCCGAGGACGGAAGATCCGTCACGCACAACTCATATAAGTAAATACCGCTGGTACCATGCAGATCAACAAGTGATCTGGCTCCTGGTCGGTGTTTGAACTCCCGGTTCGACCATATTGTCGTACCGCATACATCTATTCCGGGGAGCGACTGACAATTCTGTCGGTCGATTCGTCCTCCTAGGCAATAATTACTCTCTCTGTTCCACGAATGCCGAAGTATCCATCCCCAACACCACATACTTGGCATGGAGATGTTTCATCTCCTGATACTTCGCCCTCGCCCTTTTTCTCGACACCTTCTCAGGTGTTCGGTTTATATTTTGCTCGGCTCATTTTTCAGCGTTCGATTACCCCTCAATGCATAAGYATGATAGTGCCATCATCGGGGTAATCCAGATACTATCCRTCTGGTTGGCCTACCTACGCAAGATTGTTKTTTTTTTTTRTTATTATTACCMTTGTAGAGTCACGTAGATGTGGCCCTACAAAAGAACCACTTACCACTGCACYTGACTCGAGAGRGTGCGCTCAGCCAGGATAAACCTGTCGGCCCTCACGGGCCTCTACCTCTATCCGGTCGAGTCGCGTAAGCTCCTCGTCGTCAAAAGTCAAGGTGGAGACMCGTMCGCCTCGCATAACTCGGACCTTYCRCRTATCRTAGAGAGAAACCASCCGTGAGGCGAGCCTCCAAACTATGGCACGGAAYGGTTGGCGCATCYGAAACAGGTGCRTGGTAGTGGTTTCTTTAATCCGGATRATGYCGTAGCGCTCCCYGGATAGGGTAATTTTGACGCTCACAATGACCCRAGAAAGGCATTGGAGGTCGCTTGCRCGATGGAAGTACAAGGTGTATCCATGAACTTCGTCCGGAAGTCGGGCCAYATTGGCACGAACATCTGCGCGYGAGTTAGGGAAAAATCCCYGCCCATCACTGAGCAGGCCAATGAAACCAACCCAACGTGTGGRCACTCCATCTCGAGYCAGTAATAGTCKYTCCACTCGCCGGATCAGCTCCTCGTCCGTAGTGTCGCGAATYAGTAGATATCTGGCCTGCGTGAAGTCCCGCCGTCCRCTAGGCATCTGCAYACCGAAGAAGCCACCTGTTAGAAGAGGCGCTCGTAAATTTCACAAGCCTCGTCATAAAACGCSGTGACKTCGAAACGTTCCGAGCGAATGATATTAAATCTATTCGCTCGGACCCGTCTCACATGATGAAGGGAGCCGAACGGACCTTGCAAATCATTCAAATGGAGTACAATATAGAGGAACATCCCTCTAACCTCAGGAATGTTCTCTACTTTTGGACAGTCCTCGTGAACCACAACTAAGTTCATGTCTCCGTAATCTCGTGATCGATTAGGAGGCGCAAAGTCATATCGTACAGTATGTTGGYCTGGCAGGACCAAGAAAATATAACTCCGCGGTGGTTTCCTCGCGCTCCCTTCCCAGAATCGTGGCACGTCCCGTTCCGAGTAAACCTRTAGAGGGTTGTACACCAGCCTTCCTTTCCGTGTCATGGCGGMGCGGGATCGTGTCGGCACCGCTAACCAATTARCCGCCTCCTCGCGTGTGCTGAACAATCGGAGAATCACTGTCTCCGCAAGCATCTGGACGACAAAGCGGTAACTTTGTCAAAATAACTCAGATATACTCATTTCCATGTTCAATCTTTACTCCTCTTTTCGGGCCGTGATTCTTGTGTCACGGTCCGTCCKCGAAAGTAGTGCCTATTTGCACTTCTTTTAACACTAGTTGAATCACGGGCTGGGCTTCTTRTGGCGCCRGCCCTCCCACACGTAGGTGGCTCCTAAAGCRGCCACCCAGCCGGGTACTAGATTCAGCCTCCCCTTTCTCTGAAAGCACGAGGAGGCRACTGCCCCTAGCTTCAAGAYACCCTACTCTCTAGGAAGTGGTTTGGAATACCCYTCCCCCTCGCCCGAACASATTKTTCAGGACTCAGAGGTTGGGCTGGCTYCTYCGCAACAGCATGGTATCCCCCCGCCAAAGCGGTCCGCTYCGAGTCGATWACAGGGCCGGCCSCTAAGGCAACRAACCCCCGCCTMAGATGCCTCCTAGAGAGAAGAAGCYTAGACCCTAGGTGCAGACGACCACTCTATGCCTTCCCGGCYAARGGTCGACTTAGACGAATCGAGAAGAGAAAGAARTAAGATATTTTGGACGGGCATAGAAGGATWATGGTMRTTCGGGATAGAATGGGGAAGTCCTTGGGAAGATACTAAGGTGTTCCCTTGTCTTCTCTTCTTTTMATTTTCCCACGGCMTTCGTTCTTTCGGCACCCGCCTSTTCACTYTTTTATTAYTATTATTTTTGGTTTTCCTCTTTTCTTTCACATGCATTCGGGTCGCGTCGGAGAAAGGTAAGCAKCCCCATTATTATCTTGAGCAAGCAATGTTGATTCCTTCTCACATGCACCTCCCAACCTACCTKCACAATCAGGAAAAGAAACAATCCAGWGATTCATCCATCCCCCAAACAAGTCAGCCCTTTCTTCACACGCATGATGTCACACTCTTGCTCTACYTTTYCCCCTGAATTCAAAGCAAGGTCATGCAATGTGTGGGTTCACGCGGGTGTGCAGAGGAGCTGAGTCACACTGACCTTGAGTGAATTTTATGAAGGCTCACTCAAGAAAGCCAAGTATTTTCTCAAGAAAAGTTTTGCTGCTCACAAAGATGAGCCGCACCTTCCTTCAGGCACCAACACTGACTTAGGCGCTGCTCACCAAGACAAAAGTGGGCTCGCCGATGAGGAGAGTATCCCACTCTTAAATCCCACAGCCTCAATGTCACAACTCTCACTAAGAACAGCGCCAACTCAACCCACCAAGTACCAAGTCAGGTTATCACCTGCCTGCCGCAATACTTGGTGGTCCTGGATCCAATCCCAGCTCGTTCAGCGTGCCGCTAAAAAAATAACTACGGCCTTGACCATTCCCTCAAGTGCCACATGCCGCAACGTCCTCAACAAAATGATCACCACACTCTTCCTATCCCAAGGCGCACTTCCACCTCGGCGGTACCGTCCCTGCGGCAATGTCCAACCCCCCTTTTCGCAGTCTTGTGCAAAATACTGTTGCCACAAAATCTGGTAGCACCCTCGCCGTACCGCCAAGAGAATCCGCGTTGCCGCCGCATAATTTCGGCAGCGCTTCCGCCGTATCACCAAGAAGACTAGCGCTGCCGTCCCAAGAATTCGGCAGCGCTTCCGCCGTCCCACCAGGAGAACCAGCGCTGTCGCCGCACAATTTCGGCAGCGCTTCCGCCGCATCGCCAAAAAGACTAGCACTGTCGCCCCAAGAATTCGGCAGCATTTCCGCCATCCCACCAGGAGAACCAGCGCTGCCGCCGCACAATTTCGGCAGCGCTTCCGCCGCACCACCCAATCCAGCGGCAGCCTCCCGGATATGGCTCCCCCACAACCTGCAACACATCACAAGAGGTGGGGCAAGAACCTCCCAGCCTCTAGCTATGGCTGCCTCCTCCTTCCTCCAAGTGCTTCCGCAGACCTCCAGCACTTCGCCTCATCNGTCGTCCCAAGAATTCGGCAGCGCTTCCGCCGTCCCACCAGGAGAACCAGCGCTGCCGCCGCACAATTTCGGCAGCGCTTCCGCCGCATCGCCAAAAAGACTAGCGCTGCCGCCCCAAGAATTCGGCAGCGCTTTCGCCGTCCCACCAGGAGAACCAGCGCTGTCGCCGTACAATTTCGGCAGCGCTTCCGCCGCACCACCCAATCCAGCGGCAGCCTCCCGGATATGGCTCCCCCACAACCTGCAGCACAGCACAAGAGGTGGGGCAAGAACCTCCCAGCCTCTAGCTATGGCTGCCTCCTCCTTCCTCCAAGTGCTTCCGCAGACCTCCAGCACTTCGCCTCATCACACCAGCAGCCAGCCATCCAGCATCTACTTAAGTAGAATGCCCCAGCAGCATTGCCACAAGTGTGAGGCTGCTGGGTGGCAGGCTTGCTTTTATAGTTGGCTGAAGGCTGAGGGCAGCTACTTTGCCCCCAACCAAATCCCGGAATAGAGCCTGGCCCTTGATCAGAATCTCGATCGAGGGCCAGGAAACTTGATGTTCCTCTAGGGGAACCAAGTTCAGGCGACGGGTCTTAACTTGCGTCGGGTCTGAGGTCCCTGCCTTAACGGCCGTTTTTTTTTTTTTTTTTTTTTTTTCCCAACTTCTTCCTTTTTTTTTTTCTTTTTTTTTTTTGTTTTTGTTTTGTTTTGTTTCTCTGAATCAGGGCAGCTCGTTTCTCTTGAAAACAAGAAGTCACCCCTCCCATGGGTCACCCCACTGGTGCCAAGCTCAACAGGGTCTTCTCCCCACAAAGTGCCCGAACCTGGCTCGATTTAGGTGCCATGTTGGGTGCCACCTCGAGTGGCTGCTGCCTGTCACAACGGACGGGCGCAGCCACAATGGGAGGTACAGCAGAGGAGGGGGGTGGGAATCTAAAAAGAAAACTTCTAAAAGAATAAAAAAAAAAAATCTAAGGAAACAAATCTAAAAACTAAAAAGAAAAACAGCAACTTACCTGGGCCGTGGCCACACTAGCAAAGGGGATAGGATAAAAATCCTGAATCTGGCTTATCTTTCATGCAGAAATATAAAAAATCAGTTCTGTCTCGATTTCCTGCTCTTGCCCTCAAACACGTTCAAACTCAGTCATTCAATCTTATACTCTTTGCTAATGGAACTACAGCTCTGCTGCCCTATGAAAACGGGCTGCACCTTTCTCATCTGGGCATACGCCCTTTCACTTCGACGTCCGCCATCTGGCGGTTCTGTTTTTTTTTTTTTTTTT